AGAGCAAAAACTTGAATCTCACTGTTTGCAGGTGCTATGAATTTTATATCACCATTGGAACTAGGACAATGGTCCAGGCAGATGTAGTTGTTAGGACTTGAGGTCCAAGGGAAATCGCACATCTGACTCAAGATCCAGCCAGAAGTGAGTACAGGGGTTACATTTGCCAGTAGAGTAAGAAGATCAGAGAGGGCCTGGAAGCAGCTGCAGGGTACCTGCAGTGTTTGCATTCCCTGCTTTGGAACTGATGGTTTTGGGTTAATGCTGCTCCAAGTGTAATTTCCCAACAATCTTAACAGTTCTTGATTTTCCTTTTTGGTATGTACTTAACATTTTAATTTCTCCTTTAAATTTAACACATTATTTCTAATTATTCCAACTATCACCCCCATACCAAATCTGTATATCTGTATTAAAAATTTACAACCTAGGGGTTGGGGATTTAGCTCAGTGGTACAGCGCTTGTCTAGCAAGTGCAAGACCCTGGGTTCAGTCCTCAGCTCAAAAAAAAAAAATTTACAACCTAATTTGTTAGTTTATTTTTAAAACATATTCTTAGGAAATTCCAAATTTTTATAAGCCCGGGAATATAGAAAGTACTACTTATTAGAACACCCTTTATACCAGACTCTTCTCAAGATCTATGAATTTTGTTTTAGTGATCAAAAATGCTTCTTTTAAAAACCTTTACCCACACAACAGCTTTATCTTTTCTCTTCTGGTACCTCCATGTTATTCTGGGGTACCCAGCCCATAGCTGATCAGATGTTCCCTTCTCATTCCTGCAGGACTAGTGTTGAGACTTTGCTTCCATTATGGTATCTACTATCCATCTTACCACAGCAGCCCTGACCATACCTTTCCTCACTTTGACAGCAACAAGCTCTGTGTTACCAGCTACTACTTCTTTCTGGTTATTGGAAGAGCATCTACCAAGGGGTAACTGTCCGAAGATGGCCAGCTGGAGGAGCATTTGTTCAGGAGGGTATGTAAACATAAGGCTTTGGCTTAGCAAAGGTCAAGGGAAAAGGTCCACCTGTTTCTAAGTGGAGATTGGCCTCCATTGATCCTCCTCAGTTGAGTATGGAACATCAGAACACTTTGCAGTGATTGGCAGGGCAACAGAGACAATGGCAGTGTCCAGTGCTGACGACTGTGCTTAGAGCTCAGCACGCTTAACACCTTCCTCTGAAATCAAGAAAACCTTCCCACGGGAAAGCTTACAATTCCCAGTAGCCATCTTCCAGCTGGATCCAAAAGATATATGAACATTCAAACTCTGAATTTTTCAGTGTTAAGAGAGTCTTTAACTATCACATCGCTAGCCTTGTTTATTAGTTCTTCAATAGTTAGCTCATATCTTTTCTGCAATCATGAAACTGGCTAACCAATTAAATCCTTTATTTGATTATACTGAATTTTTCCCACTTTTGTCTGAGTTAAGGATTCCAATATCTTATCATCTTATTTTCCATTTCCCTTTTATATTTTATGAGAAAAAAAATCAGATTACTACTGTAATGCAGATACACCTATTAAAATAAACCTACCTACTTGGTCTGCCAGAAGTACTTGAATAGCAAACATGTTTTTCATCAAATGCTGGATTTTCTTTTTTTCCTTTTTGTAGTCTGGGGACAGAGCCTTGCACATGCTAGGCAAGAGGTCTGCTACTAAGCTAATATCACCAGCCCTTTCTAAATACTATTTTAAGACAGAGTCTCACTAAATTACTCAGACTGACCTCAAATTTGCAATCCCCCTGTCTCAGTCTCCCAGGTATTGAGAATACATGGACACACTTTTATGTACTATAAAATTTTTAATTTGTACCTTACTGTATATAATGCCCACATGGAGTTGTTTTGTTTTTTAAGCTAGAGTAACATATAGCATGTCTTCACAGCTTGGTAGGGAGGAGGGTACTAACACAAAGCTCTCCAAACACCAATGGACAAAGACAATTGGGTCTTAAAGGAAACAAATATTAACAAAATGCCACCTAACAAAATTCTAAATATTAACAAAAGAAGCTTCTTTTTCAATAAACAGTGATAATTACAGAGTTTCACAACTGGTCACACATAGAAATTCTTTGTGAATTGCCCAAGTCTAAGTGGCACATCTAGGATGCAACCTCTACAGCTAAGACTCACGGAACATAGAACAAGGGATGAAGAGAACACTAATGCATCTTTCCACTCTCATCAGTGAAGCTCCCTCATGCAACAGACAGCCAGGAATACAAAAGGCCACAAATGGCCAAAAGCAGAGTTGGTAGAGTGTGTGGACAGGTCTACTATATTGAGGTCTACCCACCCAGGGCTCAGGAACCATTAAGGAAGAGGGAGCTGGAAGATTGTAAGAGCCAGAGAGGAGGTGCAGGACCACACAAAATACTCCTACAGGTGCCTGGGACCCTTCTCAGCAATGGTGTCAGCATGCACAAGACCAATGCAAACTTAGGCAGACAAAAACCCAGCACAGAACTGTGGAAATGAACAGCAAGCCCCAGTCTTTAGTCGAAGAATTATTTGCAGCTCTTTACTGCTGGGTGAGGAAGAGCTGATCTTCTTGAAGGGAGAAACTGTAGATAGGTTGACTAAACCCCAGTGGATGAACTTGCACTGAGGGACATCTGGGAACACTAACTTTGCATAATAGGCTTTAATATAAATAACAGAGTGTATGAACTTCGGAGGGGAGGCTATGGGAGGGTGCCAAGGGGAAGGGGGAAGGAGGTATAAAAATGATTTTATGAAATACATGAAAATTCAATAAAAAATTGAAAAAAAACCCTGCATTGTGTATACAAACCACATTTCATTTATCCATTTGTCTGTTGAGGGACACTAGGCTGATTCTATAACTTGGCTGTTGTGAATAATGCTAAATAGAGCCACAATAAACATGGATGAACTCTCTGTAGCATGCTTAGATTTCTTAGATTATTTCAGGTATATTCACAGCACTGGTATAGCTAGGTCTATTTTCAGTTTATTGAGGAACCTCAATAATTTCCATAATATCTATACTAGTTTGGGTTCTCTTCAGCTGTGACTGAGGGTTCCTTTTTCATGCATATTCCTCAGCACTTTTTTGTTCTTTAAATGACATCCACTCAGACTTGGATGAGGTGGAATTTCAAGGCAGTATTAATTTGCATTTCCCTGATGACCAAAGATGTTAAACCTTTTCATGTATTTACTGGTCATTTGTGCTTCATCTTTTGAGAAGTGTCTGATCACTTCAGTACCCATTTAAATGACTGGATGGTCTAGGGTTTTGGTGTTTCATTTTCTGAGTTCTTTATATACGCTAGATATTAGTCCTCTGTCATATGTATAGCTGACAAAGATTTTTCTCCCATTCTGTAAACTGCCTCTTCACTTTGCTAATTGTTTGCTTTGATGTGCAGAAACCTTCTAATTCCATGCACTCTCACTTGTCAAGTCTTGCTATTTATTTCCATAGCTAGTGGAACACTAAGGATGTGTTTTCCTAAGGATATATTTTACCACTAGGTTTGTTTGATTTTGTGTTTCCTTGCTTTAAGTAACTAATGCTCTTACAAGTTTGAACATTTAGAGAGCTGTGGCACCAATCCAAAGTCACCCTTCTGTTGCATTATTGCTAGCTCATGTGATTAAGAAACAAGACATCACAGAAGGAAAAGATGGAGTCCACACACAAAAGTGGCACCATATGTTCAAGTTTATTGTACAGTCAGAAGTTACACATCAGAAACTGAGCAGAACACGGTACCTGCTTCCACTAACTCAAACCAAGTTAGCAAATACAGATTTGAGAACAGGCTCATTTACCTCTCGCCCAATGTGGGTGATCACAAGAGAAGCTAAATCAAGATAATTATGTTCTATGCTACTTAGAGAGCAAATTAATTATATATACAGCTTCCAAGTTACCCTAAGATATCTGAAAGTGTTTCAAAACTGGTAAGGAATAATTCATCTCCTGCCTAAAATGAAATGCAGAATGCACAGTTTAGAATGCACTCATATATCTACACCTACAGCAGAACTGCTCTTTTCTGCTAACAAAATCACTAAAACATCTCTGTTTAGATTAGGGTTACTAAATGAATGATGGCAGACATTATCTAGGTTTGGTTACATTGTTATATTGCACTTGAGCACATAACAACAAAAATCAAAGATTCAGTACCTCTCACAGCAAGTTCATTGTATGTCAGAATTACAATGAGATGCTAGTGTATACTGCACACAGTACGTCCATAGGTTCAAGCTAGACAACCAACCAGTTCAAGGGACCATTTCCAAATCACTAAGTATTAAGCAATTTGGTTAGGATCCCATAACCAATTTTAATTTTTTCCCATTCTTTCTTACTCATCAAATTACTGCATGTACAAGCCATCCCTGAGTGAAAACAAGGTGGCATTCAGATAGACAATGTCCACATGCAAGTATTCCTGGAACAACTTACTTTCTTCCCCATTAGGTCCCCACAACCTTCTGCCAAACCAGAACAGACAACACCTTACCCACTCTGTCTTAAAAGAACCAGCTACTCCATCAACTGGTTTTTGCCACAGAAATTCCTCCCTTAGGGACATGTTCACTATTAAAACTATTCTGTAGCTCTCTTAAAGAAGCAATAATAAACTCTTGTTTATTATTAGTGAATTTCCTCATATAAGTAATAATCACACATTCATGAGATTAGCTATTAATGTGATTTTATAATACAAGTAGAATTTGGACAATAATATTTTGACTAATTGTTTCCCCTTTCAGAACCATTCAAAACATAATCAGGATGAAACAATAATTAATCATAAGGGGGAAAAGGGGCCTCACAAAGATTTCTTTAAAATAGAAATTCTAAAATAAATATCTATAAAATAAATCAATATCAGTGCCAATT